AGTCAGGATTTAAACCTGACACATCATCAGGGATTAAACCTAATGAACAGATTTGGAGCAGCTCTCAATTGCTCTGAGTGGGAGACATGGGGGGATGTCACTGCACCCTCAGGTACATCCTTGTGTGTTGATCGAGTGCATCCCCTCACTCCCCATCCCCTCCATGCCGAGGGGTCACTGCCAGCACCCCTTTGCTTGGCTCAGGCTCTGGCTCTGGACTCTTCAGCACCATCAGAGTCACCACCAGTCCTGTGCCACTGTGAGCTGCTCGGTTTCTAGGTCAGCTCTGCCAGTGGGGTGATAGCAGCCCCGAACACTGGCAGAGATTTCAGCTCTTACTCAGCCTATTTGGCTCCAAAGCGACTTAAAATGCATTACTGTCACACATGGCAGCTCAGTCCTGTCTCTCTGTCACTTGTCCCATTGTCTGGGGACATTCTCCTTAGCAAAGCCCGGCAGCTGACTGGCTTTGCATATTTTTCCCTGAAGATTTTTTTTTTCTTGGTGCTGGGAATTGATTCTAAACATAGAATTGTGGAATCACAGAATGGTTTGTGTTGGAAGGAACCTTAAAGCTCATGTTGTTCCAACCCCCTGCCATGGGCAGGGACACCTTCCACTAGCCCAGGTTGGTCCAAGCCCTGTCCAGCCTGACCTTGAATGCTTTCAGGGATAGGGCAGCCACAGCTTCTCTGGGCAACCTGTACCAGGGCCTCCCCAAGCTCACAGCCAAGAATTTCTTCCATATATCCAACCTAAATTTCCCCTCTTTCAGTTTGAATCACTTCAGAGGGATGTGCCACTGCCAGGGTTGGTCATGGGTAGTGCCACGTTCAGCCCTCTGTCCAGCCTGTGGGAAGAGGATGTGGGAGTGGGAGCATCTGCTGGCACAGGAGCATTGCCAGGCTCTGGACCTGCTGGGGGGTCTCTGAGAAGAACCTCATCTGTGTGGTGCCACCATGGAGAGGAGCCTGGTCAGGGCTGTGCGTTGCCGCCAGCACCCAGGATTTCCCTGGAAGTGTCCCAGGCCAGGCTGGATGGGGCTTGGAGCAACGTGGTCTAGTGGAAGGTGTCCCTGCCCATGGCAGGGGTTGGATGAGAGGAGCTTTAAGGTCCCTTCAAACCCAAACCATTCTAGGATTCTGTGATTTGTTAGCATGGAGGCAGCTGTCAGTGGAGGGGATGATGCTGTACCAACCCCACCATCACTGTCCTGCTCCAAAATCCCTTCGGAGCAGATGGGGCTGGACTGACCCTGGTGGGAGCTACCTGCATCTCACCCTGTCCCGCTGCTGCTTCCCAGGAAAGCCACCCCAACATTTCTGAAATGAACCACATCGGTGCCCTCATCCCCACAGAGCCAACAAGTGCCTGGGGCGGGAGTTTAGGGCAAAACAGCATTTTGGCCAGGAACAGGGACATGGGTGGAGGTTCCCAGGGCTCCAGTGTCATTGCAGCTACAGGATGCAACCAACAACTTTGTGGTTTTGAAATAAGAGCAGCTCCCTTAGGAGCTCTGTGGCAGACTCCAGATGCCCTGGGCAATGTCCTGGTGACATTTGGCTTCCTTGCGCTGCTCCAAATGGGTCAGAGGACACCCAGCAGCAATCCTGCCCTGTGCCAGGACCTGGCAGCACATCCTCAGCCTGAAGGGCCTAACTGTGCATCCTCAGCCTGGCAGCAATCCCAGCCAGCCACTGCAGGTGCCCGTCCCCTGCCCCATCCAGGTGAGACTGGTGAATGGTGGTGGCATCTGAGGACCAGTTTTCCTGCCACTTTGGCACGTGGAGGGCATTCTGGAGGGGGTTTGACTTGGTGCAAGTGTGCCTGCTCGTGGGTTTGTGGATGCACATGTGATTTGTGTTTATGGTGTGCAGGGGGATCAGGGCAAGGATCTGTCTCCATTATTGGAAGTGATTATAGATGAATAGGGGCAATGAGAAAAGCCTTGGAAGTAACACTCTCCAGTTTTGGCTGTCTTTCCGTGAAGATACATGTGGAAATCTGTCTGTCATAAGGTGGAGCCAAAGGAAACCCTCCATGCTGCCATGTCAGGCTGAGCCCCTCACCCCTCAGAGCACTGCTGAGGGACAGCAGCACTGGCCATCAGCCACCCACAGCCCCTCAACTCCCATCCATAGGGCTTCCCTAGCTCCATGGAGCTCCAGGTACCCCTGTCCTGCACCCAGGGATTCCTGCTGGTGGAGGAGACCTGAAACTCCCATGGCCTGAACCCCTGGGCACTCAGACACCCTCATACAATGGGTCTGTGTGACATATAGGGACCCTGTCCCTGCCCCCCTGCCTGGGGCTCAGAGCCTGCTCTGCTCTGTCTCCCAGATGGTTAAAGCCACAAGGCTGATAGTGTTTCCCAGTGCTGGTGGATGGGTTTCCAGACTGGTGGATGGGCTGGTGACCAGCCATGGAATGCAGCTCTGGCCAGGTGCAGGCAAGATCATGTTTGACGAAGCACAGGGACCAGGAGAACACCATGTTTTTATAGTTCCTGAAGCTGTCTTGAGCCCCCAGCCTTAATGCCTTCTTCAAACAGAGAAGTGCTTCTTCAAACAGTCCAAGTGCTTGTTGGGTATTTGGAGAAAAAGGAAAACGGAGTTGTTGCCCATCATGCCCATTGCTGAACAAATATGGGTGTTGGTGCTTGCAGGTCCGTGCTGTGTGATTCCACTCCTCTGGCTGGGTGTGAATGGATTTACTGTGCATCTGGTCACTGGCAGGTAAAGGAGTGCAGCTGCTGAGCTGCTCTGTTGGAGCTCTCCAGGAGGGTTTGATCCTGCAGATCTTTGTCACTCGGGATGGGTGTCTGTCCCACAGTGCCTGTGTCTGGGCAATCCCCTCTCTGGTCCCACCGTCCCTGGGTGACTTGGCCCCTTGGCCCCATGGAGCAACAGTGACTCCTGCTCAAAGGCATGGTGGTGCTCCCCTTTTTGTCAATTTTTCTCACTTCTCTCCCCAGTTGTGGAGAAATCACCAGAAGGTGGAGGTTTGGGGAAATGACGAGTGTTTTATAAAGCAATTAAAGCCCAACCCCTGTAATTGCTGTAATTTATATACACCTACAAAATAACCAGCTGGTGTGATCCAGGCTTCGAGCCCATTTTATTTGTTTCAGCACATCGAACAGATGGAAACATTCCATCTGTGTTTTCCTAGAATATAGAGGGGTTGGCAGTGAGGGTCTGTGGGTGTGGAGAAGGGCTGGGGAGCAGCAAGGGGCTGTGGGGGAGCAGTGAGGGGCTGGGGGAGCAGCAAGGGAGGGCTGTGGGAGCAGTGAGGAGCTGGAGGAGCAGCACAAGGGGCTGTGCAACCATTGCTGACACCAGTAAAGCACCACTGACTGCCTCAGCATCACCACAGCAGACGTGTGATGAAGGGATCGGTGCTTAGGCGCAGGATTTGTGTGTGTTTGTGGATGGGAGGAGTGATGCCATCCCCTAGAAAACTCGGGAAGCTGCAAATGGGGTTTGGGCTTGTGTGCTTCAAAGCTGTACCCTCAGCCCCCCCCCTTCCATCACACCCTGGAACATTAAAGCAGGTTGGTGCAAGTTCAAAGCTGGGACCTCAGCGCAGCCAAAGTGGTGACAAGGGAAGTAATTAGCAAGTGAAATGTTCAGTGCTGTAGTGAAATGATGTTATGATATTGGGCTGTGAGGAGGGGAGGGTGGGAGCAGCTGGTTTTTCCATTATCCATACAGCCCTGCTCTACGAATCCTTCCTGCATAACGAAGGCTCCTTGAGTTTTATTCCATTTCTCCAGCCTGTTCCTGTGTTCTGCCTCACCCGCCCTTGCCTGGCAATTTGCAGGGTTGCAAACGAGCTTGGAGTATTTTAGGAGCCAGTGGTTTTTCAGGAATGAGTGCTCTGCCTGTGCTCTGTGCCTGTGATTCAAGTTCTCCTGGCTCAGTAGCCCCCAATTACCCATGTGTGCGGAGGGGGGCCGTGTTTATGGGTCTGCTGGAGTTGGATCAAAGCCTTGGACTGCAGTTCCTACCCGAGGATGAATGAACCACCTCAGGGATCTTCTTCCAGCCCCGGAGTTTAAAATATTAATAGGATATCATTTCCCAACAAGCACTGCAACAGGTAGCGAGCACTCTGTTATAAAACATTCCTGTTAGCAGAGCACGTGGAACCGGCAATGCCGTGTCCCTGGAATTGACACCCACAAACTGTGCATCCCCCACATGGCCATGGATGTCAATGTCCCCTTAAATGGGCTCTTTCTCCACGCTCCACTGGATCCCCTTCTGCTCCCGGAGTATTGCAGCCTGTGGGCTCCAGAGCAGGCCCCGGGGATCCCTGTGCTGCTGGGGTTGTGATCTGCTGGCAGAGATCTGCTGGCCGTGATCCACTGCCCGTAATCTGCTGGCCCAGATCCACTGGATGAGATCCACTGGTGGGGGTCTGCTGGCCAAGATCTGCTTACCATGGTCCACTGGCTGAGATTCACTGGTTGTGATCCACTGGCCAAGATACACTGGCTGAGATCTGCTGACCATGATCTGCTGGTTGAGATCTGCTCCAGCAAGCAAAGGGCAGCATGGCTGGGGACTGAGAGGACAGTGCTGGGCAGCTTGACTCTCCTGGCCTGTGCCCACACTGCTCTGGCTGAGGTGGTTGGTAGATGAGATGTCTCTCTCCTGTGGCTCATCAGGCTCTTGTTCGTCTCCCTCACCCTGTGCAGGACAAAACTGATGATGAAATAAGCCAAAATTTTCTCTCCAAAGAGCAGACATCCCACACTGTCCCCACAAGCTGGTGACACCACAGAGCTAAGTTCAGTGACTCCCCCATGGCCCAAACCACCGGAGAGGGCAGGAGCTGCCGAGGAACCCCAGAGCCTTTTCCCAAAGTTATTCCAGTGTTGCTCCCTCGGGCAGTGGTGGGTGATGGAGGGTCTTGGTTGCTGGCAGGGGACTGGGGACACTCCAGCTTTGCTGATCTCTATGTTTTTCCTCTTTCTCCCATTTCTGGACCTGCAGCAAACCCTGGAGACGAATCTCACCAACCTGGTTAAACGCAACAGCGAACTGGAAAACCAGATGGCCAAGCTGATACAGATCTGCCAGCAAGTGGAGGTGGGTGAGGGCCAATGGGGGGCTGGGGGAGGTGCCCAGGGCATCTCCCTGCTCTAGGGAGGGGATACATGGATCACCCCAGAGTCCTTTCCTAGGGACTACCCTGGGAACAGAGTGTGGGGGGAAGCATTGCTGAGGTCTCAGGGGAGCTGAATTGATTGAGGGAGTTTAGTCCCAAACAATTGAAGATGCAAGGATCGTTCCCAGGGTCTGTAGGGTCTGAAGGAGCATGGCATGACTGGGAGCCACTGGGAAGAGACATGGGCTGCTGGGCTGGCTCCACGCAGGAGGACCTGCCAGCTTCTCTGTACTGGGGGCAGCAGGTGTTTTTGGCGGAAGCCTGGGTGAAACTGAGCATGGAAACCAGGCTCAGCTGGGTGACACCGAGCCTGTAACAGGGCTCATGAACTGGGTGACACCGAGCATGGAAACAGGGCTCATCAATAGCCTGGGTGACACTAATCCTGCCAGCAGGGCTCATCAACTGGGTGACACCGAGCATGCAGCTGTTCCTTGAACCACCACCTTCCCATAGGATAAAATCCTAGGCTGCTGCCGGGATTGCTGCTGTGGATTCAGGGGAATTTGCCAGTGCCTGAGTGAACACAACAGCTGTTTGCTTCATCCTTGGGCACCCCGGCCTTCCCCACACCTCCCCTTAGCCACCCCGTGGGCCCAGCAGCCAGTGGGATGCTCTGGCGGGATGTGGGGATGCTGCAGCAGCATGTTGGAATGCTGTGGTGGGATGCAGGGATTCTGCAGCAAGATGCAGTGGTGTGCAGGGATGCTGTGGCAGTATGCAGGGATGCTGCAGTGGGATGCTATGACAGGATGCAAGGATGCTTTGGTGGAACGTGGGGATGCTGCGGCAGGATGCAAGGATGTGGATGGATGTGGGCATGCTGCAGCAGGATGAGGGATGCTGCATGTGCTGGTTGGAACTGCTTGCCCTCAGCGAAGCACCTGGAATGGATTTGTCCATGGAGCTGCAGCTTGCCCTTCACCACCTGCATCTCGGAGCAGCTGGAGCTCTGGCGCTGGGAAGGTGCTTCCAAACCCCCGTGGTTCCTACAGGCAGCGGCAGCGCTTTGTTCTTTGCTCCCTCAATAATGTCCTGATGATCTGGCAAGAGGAAATGAGAGTAGAAGCCCTTTCTGTGAGTGCCAGCAAGGCCGAGTGTGCCGCCAGCAGCTGGCAGCCACTGTCACAGTGTGCAAGGAGGAGGAGGAGGAGGGGGCTGAGATGCTCTGAACTTCCAGCCAAAATAAGGAGCAGAAAAGTCCCACTTGGCTCTGCAGCACTGCTGGCCTTCCGCACTGATGCTCTGTGTCACTCACATTGTCCTGTTTCTCTCTGCCCATGCATCACTCTGCAGTAGGAATGGCTTTGTCGGAGCTGTCTCTCCTGGGCTCCCTCTTCCCCAGGGCTCAGAGGGCTTGGAGTGAGTCTGGGAAAACAGACAGCAAATGGCTGGCTGGCAGGGAGAGAAGGAACCAGGACATCCTTGCAGAACTCTGGTGACAGTCACCAGCCCTTGCTGCTCTAATGGCCCACACTTTAGCTCTGAGAACCCACTAGGGATGGAGCAAGGATGTGGCTGGATGTCCTTCCAAACCTCCTCCTTTGAATCCAGCTCCAATATCTTAATGACCTGACTTATGATAAATTGAAATCCATTTGGTGTTTCTGTCTGATCCAGGGAGTCTCAGACCTCTAAGCTGTCATTTTCGGCAGAGTTTGGGAGTTTTCAGCTTTGTCAGACGCTCTGCTTAAAATAACAGTTCAAACAGCATTTCTCAGCCATGCTGAATGCACAGCCGGGCCCTTGGAGGCACCTTCACAGAGAGCACAGTAAAGTGTGAAGCAGAAAATATCTCTGCCTCCCTGTTTTCCCTGTCAGTCTGATTCCAGGGAATTTAGCTTTCGAGCTATTTGTAGACGTGGCACACGCGATCCCGACATACTCTGCCCATCGGCCACATTCAGTGTAAGTCCCATGGTACGGCCAGGGAATGGTGCCACCAACACCTCGAGGGACAGGGGTTCACAAGGGCACTGCAAGTGTCCCCAGGCCACTGAGCCCGTGCTGCCTGTCGAAGTGACCCTGGTGCCTGGGGCGCTGTGCTGAGAGAGGGTGAAAGGGCAAGTCCCGTGGCAGTGATGGAAATGTGGACCAAGGAGGGCAGGTAACAATTTCATGGAGAAACTGAGTTTGTAAAATAGAGATGGTACCACCATGATATCCCCATTGTGGGGGGCAGCAGGAGATACTGCATGTGCACCATGGGGCGGTGGCCTCTGTGCCACGGCAGCCGCAGGGCTGACCTCAGTGTGAGCTCGGGGTGTCTCCAGAGCACGGCTGCTACACAGCCAAAAAACTCTCGAGGGTTTTGGAGGTGGGATGGGGTTCTCTGCTCCATCCCTGAGCTGCCAAGGCACGAAGGAGGAGGTTTGCCTGTGCCTGAGTCATACTGTGGGCTGAGATGCTATTCCTCATCCCCATGAGCTGCAGGATGAGCTCTTCCCAGGGCTGAGTTTATTCCAGGGCTGTGTTGTCCCTAGCACATTCCCCCTCAGGACTGAGAAGAATGAAGTATTTTTTCTCTCCTTTCTTACACCTAAAAGCCTCCCCCATGCCCAGTGCTCCTATACCCATAGCGCTTGCCAAGTCTTCATCCCAAGTCCAGCATTTACCTGGGAACTGATTCATCCCTACAGAGTGGTTTGGCCAGTGTCCAGATGTGCTTGAGCCAGGGATTTGCCAGCAGAGCAGTGCTGTTCTGCAGTACACCCACCATGCTCTGCTGGCCCTTTGGAAAGACTCCAGCCTTAAAAATGCTCCTTTTTGGGCAGAAGGCAACAGGGAAAGGGACTGTGTGGCCTCTGCGACTTCACCTGCCTTCAGCCTCCCAGAGCATGAGCATGCCTGAGGGCAGATTTCTTGCCCTGGGCAGCTTTTCACATTTTTGCTATGGATGGGTACAGATTTATGTTGTCCTGTAGCCATCCTGGAAGGGGAGTGCTCCAGGCCTGAGCCCTGGGACCACTGTTGGTCAGCAGCTGGTTAGGGGGATGGACCTAGGGCCAACCTGAGGTGCTCCAGCCTCCCCTCCTATCCTTTGGCCCAACATCTCCTTCCCTCCCTTTGCCGTGCACAGGCTTGCTTCATCTTCCCTTACCTTCATGTGAACCAGCACCTGAATGAGAGTGAAAGTCAAGAGTTTGTGCTCCTGGGAATCTGGGGTGACAGCCATCTCCATGGGCACATGGCCTCGAGGGACCTGGGTGCTGCCAGCTCTCCACGACCGGGCTGCACAGCAGCACTGCCACAGCAGCTCGCTGCAGGCTCCAAGCCCTGGAGCTGATTCCCCCCCCTCCTGCTACGTGCAGCAGATTGGGAAAATTTTACGCTGTTTTTCCTCCGTGGAACTCTCTTTGCAGACCATCAGCTGTCTCCCACTCCAGCGTTGCATAATCTGCTGGCCAGGTTTAAAAAAAGATCCTGTAGCAAAAATGTGGTGCACTCAGGGCTGCCTTTGGACTGCTCTGTGTTTCACAGGGATTTGGGAGTAAGAAATAAGGAAAACTGATTTCCATCCTCTAGCGTGCTTTAATTGATAGGGCTCAATTCCCCTTCCATAAAGTGTGCTCCCCCATCCTGTCTTGTCCTGTCCTGTCCACCACCCCAGGGATACTGGTCTTCCTGGAGGCAGAGGACTGGAAGCTTTGCCTGCACCCCCCCACACTCTGTGTGTGCACCATGGTGAACACAGCCATGAGGATGTGTTGTGTGTCCCCCCCAACACCTGTATGTTGTGTATCGCTCCAGCACCTGTATGTTGTGTGTCACCCCAACACCTGTATGTTGTGTCCCCCCAACACCTGTATGTTGTGTCCCCCCAACACCTGTATTTTGTGTCCCCCCCTCAACACCTGTATGTTGTGTCCCCCCAACACCTGTATGTTGTGTTGTCCTCCAACATCTATAGGACTGTGTGTGCTCCCCCCAACACCTGTATATTGCGTGTGTCCCCCAACACCTGTATGTTGTGTGTCCCTCCTAACACTCATGTGTTGCTGTTCCTGGCCAGGTGAACACAGCCATGCACGAGGCCAAGCTGATGGAGGAGTGTGATGAGCTGATGGAGATCATCCGCCAGCGCAAGCAGGTCATCGCTGTCAAGATCAAGGAGACAAAGGTGAGGGGGGGTGGTTCATGTGTCCCTGGTCCAGCCACAGGCAGAGGGGCCGCAGCCATGAAGGATTTGCTTTGGGTAGCCATCAGTGCACTCAGATTCATCTTCTTGCTGTCCAAAATCTGGGCGTCCCTCACTGCTGCTGCCCCAGAGCTCCTCCGCCAAGGACAAGGCATGTGCTGGATGTGGCTGGAGGAGGAACGGTGTGTGGGTTAGCGTGACAAGTTGGTGCAGAGGCTTGGATCACTCTAGACAGCTTCCTCGGGGCTTTTAACTACCACGGTCCTAACAGAATAATGTGGAATTAATACTGAAGGACCGGATCCCAGCGCTGCAAAGAAAGCAGAGGCTGCACAGTCTGCACTGCAGCACAGCTGAGGGGGGAGCTGCTTCTCACCCTTTTCTTTGTAGGGGTGTTTGGAGCCTTCAGCCAGCGGTTCCAGGTGTTTTGCAGTGGTTTCTTTGTGTGATGTCCCACCCTGAAGGGAAAGGCAGCACTCAAGATTCATAGATGCTCATGGTCGAAAGGACTGGCAGAAGTCAGAGGGTCAGCAAAAGCTTACAGAGTTTTGTTAGTAAATTACAAGTAATTTACTTGGCATGGAAATTTATATAGATTAGTTCCTCGTCTCCCAGTATAAGCACTGGGTTTTGGATAAAGGGGTAGGGTGAACAGGAAGAGAGAGAGGGAGATGGATTAAAGACGGAGAGAGAGGAAGAGAGATCACCAGTCCTAGTTCCAACAACAGGGTGTCCAGGGTCAGGGTGCACTGCCTGGGCTTCATGTGGGGGCCTTTTTATAGATAAGTTTTCCCCCCCTGGGGAGAAGTTCCTCCCTTTCTGTGCAAGTCACTTCTCATGTGCAGTCCATTTTTCCAGACCTTTCTGGAAATGGGTCAGAGGCTTTGGTGGTCTTGATCTCCCCTACAGGCCATACCCACTTCTCCACCTCACTCCTGCTATGCTGTGTTGTGCTTATCTTTAGGAGTCGGAACAAGGATGTTTGTCCCAGAAAAGTGTTGCCCTACCTCTGTAGGGCCCCTTCTCCAGCCACAGCAACCCTTGGGCTCACACATGCAACAGGGAGAGGCTGGAGGGCTGGGCTGTAGCTCTGGGTGGTGCCCTTGGGAGCCTCCTGAGCCCTTTGTTGTTCTCACTGAGTTTGGGTGTGCATTGGGGTCCCACCGCAATGCCCACAGCCAAGCCCCAAATACAGATGTTTCCCAGGTGTAGATTGGGAGCAGGTTCCGCTGCAGGCGTACACAGGAGAGCCACCAGCACGACTCTGGGACACCCTGGCATCAGTGGGAGCTTTGAAATCCTGCTTCTACCCCAAGCACTCCAGGGAACATATTTTATGTAACGGTGCCGTCTGCCGGTCCATCTGTCTGTCTGCTTGCACTTCCCACTCTCTTCCCTGATGGCTCCAGGCTGTGCTGTCCAGTTCAAGCCATGCTTGGGAGGAGCTGGAAGCTCCAAACTGTTGTTTTCCTACAGTTGACACCTGGGCAGAGGTGAGTGGCATGGATTAGTGCCCAAACTCTCCGCAGAGGCAGCGCTGAGGAGCTGCCAACCCAGCACTGCACCAGTGGGAGATGGGTGTGGGGACGCTGGTACTGGCCGTACTGGGTTTGGCTTCCAGAGTTACCTGGGAACTGGAATAAGCATCTGTGCCAGTGAAAAGAGGCTGGGGATGGAAAGGTGTGCAGCATTGCAGATACCTCTGTACCCTCCCTGTGCTGTCTGTGGTGGGGCTGGGCAGGGTCCCCCCTTGCTTCCAACACCTGAGCAGCAATTTCCAGGTCAGAAGGGGTCGCAGCTTTCCCAGGAGCCCCAGCCAAAAACATGGGAGAGTTTAAAAAGCTGGAAAGACGGCTCCCCAGAGCCACTGGGACATTCCTGTGCCATTTCAACGCTTCTCGCTCCCCGTGAGCAGGCCCTGGCTCAGGATGGGGCTCCCTCCGTGCTTTTCAAGCTGCTGAGCTCCCTCTGCTCCTCTGGCAGGTGATGAAGCTGCGGAAGCTGGCTCAGCAGGTTGCCAACTGCCGGCAGTGCCTTGAGCGCTCCACGGTCCTCATCAACCAGGCCGAGCACATCCTGAAGGAGAACGACCACGCACGGTTCCTGCAGACCGCCAGGAACGTGGCTGAGAGGTGAGCTGGGCTCAGGACTCTGATGCTGCAGTTGTCCCCTGGTCGCAGGTTCCTGCCCAGAGATGACTTTGTCCCCAGAGATTCCCAGTCCCCCCTGGAGCCTCCCACCATGCTGCCCTCAAATAAATCCCAAGGTCAGGTTCCCATCCCTCACAGGGCAGGTGTTGCATGGCTGGTCCTAACAACACTGTGGAACAACACTGTGGAATACGGGGGTGGGAAAGTGGTGGGAATGCCAATCCACAGGACACCCGGGGGCCAGTCAAAGCTGGGATCCCCAAGGATGAAGCCCCCCTACTCTCCCAGGCTAGGCTGCTCCCCTGGGCAGTGGTTTGTAGGTGCAAGCTGGTTTCCTGACAGCAGGAACATCACATTGAGGCTGCCTGCACCCCTCTGCCCCCCCCGCCACGGCCAGGCTTTGGGAAACATGTGCACCCTGGCGCGTACTGATGGTCCCTTCTTTCCTTCCAGGGTCGCCATGGCAACTGCATCCTCGCAAGTTCTGATACCAGATATCAATTTTAATGATGCCTTTGAAAACTTTGCTTTAGATTTTTCCAGAGAGAAGAAGCTGCTGGAGGGGCTGGATTATCTAACGGGTGAGTGCACGGGCACATTCCCCTCCGCTGCACCCCGTGTCCTCCCCGCAACCCCACGTCTTCCCCTCAGCCCCTGCCCCTGTGCCCCACATCTTCTCCTTAGTGCCTTCCCCTACTCCCCACCAGGGGCTGGCAGGCGCATTTTAAGACTTAACCTGTAAAAAGCACTGGGTCAGCTGTGGCAGAGCAGGGGCCGTGCTGTCCCCAAGACAGTGACATGTCCCCATCCTCCCATTTCACTCTGCTGCTCCTGCAGGATCCATAGAAAAGTCCAGAAAGCTCAAAAATTATGGTCTCTGTGACCTGGTGAGGAGTCTGATGCCCATAAGGATGCGAGAGGGATAAGGATTACATAAGGATCCATAAGGATTACAGGGAGGGAACAGTGAATTAACCAATTATTATGCTTCTAATGCACTCTGCGCTTTAACATTTCCCTTTTCCTGCCCTCTTTGAGGGTCTCTTGGTCCTAAATTATGAACCCTGTTGGGCAGGACCTTTCTGGGCCCCACAGTGCTGCAGCACAGACTGAACACTGCCCTCAGGGGTCTGAGAGCACCAACAGCTGCTGGACTGGCCTGTGCTGGAGCACTGAGGGGATGAAAGCTCCAGGGAGGCAAGGACATCCTCAGTCACCCAAATCCGATTTTATTATCACAAAGCAGATCAGCTTTCACTGAAAGACTAACACAGACATGTGTCCGGATCAGTTATGGGATAAACTACTTATTCCACAGCCAGTCCTGGGAAATAGGTGGATTTGGAAGTGGGTTCTCAGCCTGTTTTAAAGTGGGGGTGTCAGACCTGATGGAGCAGCAGCAAAACCCCTGTGCTCTGCCCCCTGGATGCTTCGTTAAAATAAAAAATTTAATTTAGTTTGAAACACAGTGACAGATAAAATGAGGGATTTCTGGGTGTCCAGAGACTCTGCTCCCGCCGCGAGCCCACCTCTGTCCTTATGGGAGCAGAAAAGCCCTGGGTTTTTAAAGAAGGAAAGCCCAAACTGACTGAAGTCTGTGGTCTGTGCCCCCCCTCGCAGCACCGAACCCGCCGTCGATCCGCGAGGAGCTCTGCACGGCCTCGCACGACACCATCACCGTGCACTGGATCTCGGAGGACGAGTTCAGCGTCAGCTCCTACGAGCTCCAGTACACCATCTTCACCGGCCAGGCCAACTTCATCAGTAAGTCACCACGTGCTGCAGGGGCTGCAGTTCCCTTCGGGAAGGAATCCCAGGCTGCCCAGAGAAGCTGCGGCTGCCCCATCCCTGCAAGTGTCCAAGGCCAGGTTGGACGGGGATTGGAGCAACCTGGGCTAGTGAGAGGTGTCCCTGCCCATGGCAGGGGGTGGAACGAGATGATCTTTAAGGTTTCTCCAAGCCCAAACCATTCTGTGATTCTGTAAGGAAAAGGTTCTCAGTGGTTTAAAAGACTGGGAATTCATGGAGGAAACAGCAGCAAAGAATCCACCAAGGGCTGCGATCAGAGCTATGGAGACCTCCCGTGCTGGGAGTCCATCCCTGAGCTGCTCTGCCCTGCATTTGGTGCCACCAACCCTGGCCTGTTGAAGCACAGGGAGCATTGGAGGGTCTCATCCATCTCGCAGCTCCCAGGTCCGTACATCTGGGATCGCATGGGCAAGGCAGCGCTGGCTGATAATTAACATGGTTTGTAAACCCTCTGTAACAACACTGAGTCACGTCTCCAGGTCATTTTTCGTGCAAATCGCTGCCATACCCTGATTGTTTTTCCACACCGCCACAAATTTGCCTGACAGGAATGGGATTTGAGGACCAAGGAGGGATCTCGCTGATGTTCCGTGGCTTGTGAGAAAGTGTTATTCCTGGTTTTCCCTACCAGCACTTGCTGCTGGGGAAAGTGCTGACATGGTGCCTCAGAACAGGAGTTTTGGGCTGCCATCAGTCTGTCCCACTGGCTGGGAGGACGCTGGCCCTGGGAGCACGGTGTCACGGCTCCGGAAGGCTGCTCAGTGCACTCTGGAATGTGCAGGAAGCTGCCAGAGAAAGTTCCTTGTGGCTTTCCAAGCTGGGTGTCACCTCTCCAGCCCCAGCCCAGCCTTTGCCCTTGTTTTGGAAAACAAGATGATGTGTTTCCTCTCAGTCAGAGGCTGTATGGTATTGGTGCTGCTGCAGCCAGATCTGCCCTGCTTGGCTCTCCTCTCATTCCCAGCTACAGCATGTTATCTCCAGCACTTTGTCCTTCTCTGGAAGCTTGGAGAGCTCGGTCACCTCTCTGGCTCTGCTTTTGGATGACCACCAGCCCCATGTCCACTGCACTTCCAGCCGAGGGCAAGGCAGGGACAGTGCTGATGTCATTGAATGGTTTCAGTGGGGAGGGACATCTGAAGGTTCCTGAGTCAGCTCTGCAGAAGCTGGGCTGACAGGGTGCTCAGGGCTTGCTCCTTGAGAAGTAAGGACTGTCTAGGGATGGAACACCCAGTGCTTCCCCACCCCCAGCTAGAAGGATTTTGCCCTTTTCCAACCAGGATTTCCCCCGCTGCAGCTTGTGCCCTTGCCCTGGGGCCATGCTGGGGAAGGATCTGGCTCCCACCTCTCCCCAAACGCTACTTTGGACACATGGCTTGGACTCCCATCCATCAAGGGACTTGGGAATGAGTCACCTGCCCACGTCTGGGGGTCTGGCGCAGGCGTTGGGAAGGGGGAGCTGTGGTGACTGTGGGGATGAGGAGCAGCAAGGGCAGGGCTGGAGCAGAGCCCTGAGGGCGCATGTCAGGAGTGTCCTTCTTAGCTGGCTTGGGTTGCTATTGCTAGGAAGAGTGAAGAAAACACGAGTTAAATCTCCGAGGAGAAAATGAATAACATATTGTCCCTTGGAATAGCACAGCCGGGTCCGGGTGAGCCCTGGCTGAACTCATGCATGAAGAGACACTGGAACACAGAGCAGGAGTCCGGGAGGCTGACCAGGAGAGGAAATACCTTTCCAAGGAGCACACAGTTGGCCTGTGGAACCCATCCCCTTCACGCTCCCATCAAAGCCAAGAGCTCAGCAAGAGCCGGACGTTTTTATGGATGACAAATGCTGCAATAAAAAGGATTTTTTTATGCTTTAGCGAGGGTAGGAGCCCTCAGTCTTCAAGGCCAAGCTCTTTGTGGTTGTTTTGGGAAATAAGCCTGCCTGGGAGGCCGAATCCTTCCTGCTGTCGTCTCTCAGCCACTTTGTTCTTCCTCATGGAGGATCCCCAGCTGGTCCTTCCTGCAGGGAGGTGACAGCCACCAGTGCCAGACTGGAAGCTGTGTACTATGACGAGAGCAGCTCTCTGTGTAGGCTGCAATCAGGATCACATCTGTTTTATTTTCTACTTCACATCACATTGCTCTGCGCCCCTCGGCCATTCCCATGTGTGTTCTAAACCAAATCCAGGCTGACAGGGGCTGCAACCTGCCCTTGTCCTGCGGCTGAGCCAGCCACTGGAGATAAACGAACACCCCACGGAAGTCATTGCAGAGGAGGTGTGGAGTGTTCCCAGCTCCTGCCCCCAGCCCTGCATGTGCTGAAAACCCTCCTCCAGTCACCATGAATTCACAACCCACTCCTCACCTCTCACCAGTTCCAGTAAGCCTCCAGCTACTGCTTCCAAGCCTCCTCCTTAGTCCTCTTTTGGCTCAAAGCCCTGGCCCTGTGCTGCAATAGCTGCCCCAGAGCTGTGTTCAGGAAGCTCAAGCACTGCTGCCATGGTGGGTCCTGGGCTCTCACTGCCCCAGCCCCCCAGTTCCCCCCAGACCCTGCCGGATCCCTGTCCCCCAGCACTGGCTGCTCAGGTGCTCATGCTGGCTGCAGGTGATCCTTATGCCAGCCATGCTGGTGGCAGGAACAGCCTCAGTGGCTTTTCCCCTTTCCTGGAGCACTGTGTCACCTAATGTACAACATAACATTTCCATACATGCCAGGCCTTGCAGCTCCAACACTGCAAACCACTGCAGCAGTCAGGCTTGGCACTTCCAGCGTCTTGGATTTTTCATTCCCTCCCATTTCCAGAAAGAGTTCAGGCTCCTGAATGATTTCCAGGCATCTGGATCCCTTCACTGAGAGCTCTTTTTCTTTGAACTGCTCTGCAGACTAGTCTGCCCAGGGAGTTGAAGCATCAGCATCCCTTGGCCTTATTACTTCCCACCCTGGAGCACTGAGCACCAGGCAGGAACAGGATTCAGGTGCAAACATGTTGATTCGATTGCACATACGTCCCTTTCTGCTTCTGGAATTGCTTATTGTGGACCAGGAGCAGGAGAGAGACTGTCCTGTGGGAGCAGAGACATGAGAGAGGATGATAGTGGGGTGAGGATACGATGGTGGTGGGATCATGGTGAGCATCACCCCCTCCTTGGCACCAGCAGTGACCTCTGCCATCTGCCCTGGCTGAAAGGTGCCACTGGCTGAATTCTCCTTTCTCTGCACCTCTTCCCCATCACTTCCCACGGCAGCATCCCAAGGTGCCAGCACGCCAGCCCTGGCTCTGCCTCACCAACATTGCCTTGATGTGATAATGGAAGAGATTCTGAGTTGCTGGGATTTATCATCTCTGGAAATTTCCCTGCAGGCGCTCTGAACTCCCAGGCAGGGGGTAAATCCTCCCGAGGGACGCGCGGTCGTGAGCTCTGCCTGAGCAGCATGGGGACTTTGTATTCTGTCCTTCCCTGGCAATAAATCTCTCCCTGCCTCTCCTGCACTGCAGGTCTCTACAACTCCATGGACAGCTGGATGATCGTCCCGAACATCAAGCAGAACCACTACACGGTGCACGGGCTCCAGAGCGGCACCCGCTACATCTTCCTGGTGAAGGCCATCAACCAGGCGGGCAGCAGGAACAGCGAGCCCGCCCGCCTCAAGACCAACAGTAGGTGCCCAGGCACTCACCTGGCCATGGCAGGTGGGGAGGGGAGAATTTCAGGGGTGTTGGGGTGTGGCTGAGCACTCCCGGTGAGCCCGCAGCACCTGGCACAGGATGGAGACTGTGGGGTGTTTAAATTATTGAAGTGCCCCTCTTGGTGCCTCTGCTCCTTCCCTGCCTTGGGATAGTCTCCTGCTACCCCATGTGGTGCCCTGTGCTCCTGTCAGCACCCATCCCTGGGGTCTTTGGAGGTCATAAAGGCCCATCATTCTGGTGGCTTTACATCCCTGGGCTTTTTGAGGCTAATGCACAGAGTCCCAGAGCAACTGTGTTCTTGTGTGTGCCTTTGCTCGCAGAGAGTTGTAATTTTAGGGAGCCATAAGGATGTTGAAAAGTGTCTCCATGGTGGTGGATGGGACTTTGCAGCCACACACAAAGCAGAAGTTGCACTTTCCAATGCCCCGGGGATGCCAAATGTGTTTAGGGAAAGCCAGACTCGGAGACCAGTGGTTCTGGCACAGACAGAGCTCCTGGGTTTGTGGTGGAAAACCTTTTCCCACTGACCCATAGCCTGGGGGGATGCCACGGAGGGAGGGACAATGTATGGTCTTGGAGGAGGGAATAAGTTGGCTCTTCAGGCTCCTACTTACTGTCTGATCTGTGCCCACATCTCTCTGGTGCTCCCATGTCTCTGTGCAGCCCTGGTGAGCACAGCTCTCCGTTTTCCCATCTGTCCCCTTTCCCAACAATGGATTCTACCTGGACGAGGCTTTTGTGATGATTTGTCACCTACACCTCCTCCTTTTCTTTGCACGACGTTAAACTGAATAAAATGACATTGAGGCAGTGGGACTGAGGGAGCTGCTGGGGAGCAAACTCCAATCCAATCTGCCTGTTTATTAAAAATTTATCCCTCTTGTGGCTGCTGTTTTTCAGCGCTTGCCCAGCTTTGAAAAGCACTCCTTCTGGGAATGAGGAATAGGCAGCTTGGGAAGCCAGGAGCGAGGGCGGTTGGCCATGGCAGCAGCTCCCGGTGGACAGGGGTTGCTTTCTGGGATTTTAGCTGAGTGTCAGTCACCAGAGCTGCCAGCACGGCACTGAGGGCTTCTGCTCAGAGAGAGACTCAGTTTGATAAGAGCCTCATCTGGTTTTTAGCTCCCCTTGCTGCAGGGATGTGTCTGCAGCAGCTTCCTGCGTGTTCGAAACCTCGAGCAGCCTCACCTGAGGCACTGCACAGGTTATGTGTGAGTGTGATTTTGTGTGTGCCAAAGCCCCTTCCACAAGGACTGATCCTTCTCTTCCCACTCTGGGCAGGAGAGGCGTGTGGCACTGATGGGCACACATCCCTCCTTGCCACCGGTCTGCCATTCCTTTGCCATCTGTTTGTGGAAACCTCTGAATTCCTGAAGGTTTGATTTAACCACATATGTGGATATAATATAAATTGATATACTTTCTCCTGTGGCCAGCTTTGGGGGACAAGGGCTCCTTTGGGATGTCCGATGGTACCACCACCCCCTGCTGCATCCCCAGCGTGCCCCCGCTGGCCGTTCACCCTGCCTGTATTTGGGGCCAGGGTTTCTCCTTTTCCTGTGTACAACATCCAGACAACATCACACCCACGCTTTCCCACTGCTGTAACCTTGGTGCAAATGTCAGCAGCTCAACACGGAGACGGCCCATTAGCATATTTCACAGCCTGTTCTGTTCCAAAAGTGATGTCTGGAGAGATCCCTCCATTGCCAGAAGGTCAGTGTCAGGACACATTGATTTCCGCAGTGTCGGCGCTGTCAGTGCTGGTGCTAAATCTGTGTTCCCGAGCAGAAGAGCTTGGGAGAACAGGTTTGGTTTAATGGCAGGGGGACCTTCCTCTGCTGAGGCTGGACCTGAGCAGGACATATTTAGGAGCAAGTGTCCAAAAGTGGATAAAAGTGCCAGAATGCAGGGACAGGCCCGGCTCTGGCAATAAATAAAGTGCAGGGAAGGTGGGTTTTACAGTCTTTGCCTTGACCAGTGCAGCCTGATCTCATTCTCCCTTGCAATTTTTCTCTTCACGATTTCTGCATCTCATGGCAAAACCTCAGTGTAGTACAGGATGGCTCCATCCACATCTCATCCAAGATGTCAGGTGTGGATCTGATGCCTGAGCAGCAGGCTCTGAACTACCCGCTAGAGACTGGATTGTGTTAGTGCAGATGTTTTTAAGGAGCAGGATGTGTGTCCCTGTGTTCCTGCAACTTGGTTTGCATCCTGGGCAGAATGTGTTGGACACCTGCAGCCAGGACAGGGATGGTTCCTTGGGAGTGAAGTGCATATCCATCCCTCCCTTCTACCCACACATGTCTTCAGCCAAATGCAGTCACTAGCTGTCCACCCTCCCCACTCCGCCCCATCCCTGTCCCCTCACAGCCAGAGGAGTGGGGTGCACAGGAACTTCTGTTCTGTGGGGCATGGGCTGGTGTGGCACTGGTGTCACCCCTGCACTGACCCCCCAATGGGGTGGGCTCCTGTTCCCTGGATTTGGCTGAGTGTGGGAGGTTGTCTCCTGCTCCTAGGGATCTCATTCCAGCTATTTCCATAGCTGTTATGTAAAGCAGCAGGCAGCCTGTCCTGGCTGTCCCTGTAGACAGGGACAGGAGCATCCCAAGCCAGTGAGCCCCTGCTTACAGCTGTGGCTGCGGGAGCCCTGCAGGGTTCAGGGCAGTGGGGTGGGTGCTGGGGGTCCTGCAGGGTCAGGGGGAGCAGGGCCAGCACACACCTCCCTCTGCCTGGCTTCATCCCCACACACCACCAATGACCTTGACTGTGTTCCTGGTTGCCCCCTCTTTGCTCTCACATGCCTGGTGCCAGACAGGATTTCCTCTGCTCCACTTGGACACTGCCACACTCTAGCTGCAAGGAAGAGAGGGATAATCCAGCTGATAAATGCCCCAGGGGTGCAGCCAGCTGTGTCCAGCCCTGAAACCGGCTGTTTCCCCACAGCTCCCAAGCCCCCTGCAGGGATGACCAGCATAAGGCTATCAGGAATATCCCAGCAAGCTGAATTTATGGGATAAAGGTTATCTGAGTGACCAGCCCAGGACATACACGGTAACGACAAGAGCAATCTTTGCAACCCCAGCTCTCTGCCAGGCAGTGCTGGGGGGCTGGAAGGGTGCAGTGACCTGGGGGCACAGGGGACTGTGAGGGTGGCTTTGGGCAGGGAGCAGGTAGCGAGGGCTGCTCTGCCCTCTCGTGTAGTGGGAGTTCCCCTCCCTTTGGCAGCTCCCATGCTGGGGATTTGAGGTCGGGATCATCACAACTCTGTGAAGCCTGTGGTTTCCCAGTGCCAGGGAGATATTTTGGGAAGGGGGCTGATGGGAGCAGGCGCCTGGCCGTGTCCTCTGAAACACCCTCTGACCTATCCCAGCCCGTGTGCTGCTGCCTCCCACCCCGCCCATCGCAGACACTGCCTGCGGATGCGGCTCGAGCGCCCGGTCCAGGACGTGCCAGCACAAACCAGTGACAAGGGCTGGGCTCCAGTTCTTCACACTGACCTTAACGAGGGGTCGCCTTCAGAAACAGGGCTGTGAGTGTCTCTCTGCTGACAGAGCCAAGTATTTTTATACCTCACTTCCTCGGAGCTTGTCTCTTTGCATTACTGCCAGGAAAAGATACGGCAGAAAGATCAGAGCAGCCAGAGGAAGGAGGGGGCAGGTCAATCCCAATTTGCAGCTTTAGTTTCAGGCCTCTCAACTCAATTATCCAGCAAATTGGGCTCCGAGGAAAACCAACACGAGCTACCATGAGATATTGGAGCATGGCACGGAGGAGCTTCGTTCTGCAGTTGCACTTGAGAGCTCTCCAGCCTCGTGTTATTGATGTTGCAGTTGTTTGCAGGGTTCCTGGGGTTCTGGGGGTCCCCAGCCTTGCCCAGCTGTTTGCAGGGGTTCCCAGACCTGGCTCAGGGCCCCTGTCATGAGTGGTGTGGGTGTTTCTCCTCGCTAGGACTCAATGTCCATTGCCAAAAATGGGAGCATGCAGGAGGAAACAGCTCTTTGTTCCCAGAGCCAGGTCAGGGACCCCTCAGGTACCAAAGTATGAGGGTGAAGATGTTTGCAGGATTTGGGGTGTTTTCTGCAGCTGCCATTTGCTTTGTCCTGAGGAAGGTGAATCCCTATGGAAATAGTCTCTGCTGCCTGTGTGCTCTTTACTGCATCTCACGTGAAAACACAGCAGAAGAACCCACCAGAACTCAATTTGCTTCTTCACAACATCTTGGGGTTTTGTTTGCAAATCCGGGGATAGTCTGAGGGTTTCCAGAGGGAAATCATTGAAAAACGAGGTGGTCACATGAAGCTCTGGAACCAAGAGTGCTGGGACATCACCCAGATTTGGTCTGGCTTTGGGGAAAAAACCCCAGCAAACCACCATTGAATGTGTAAAGCCGAGAGCACGGGATGTTAAAAGCACCAGAATTGGGTTTCATGTGGAATTTAATGTAGTGCCTGCTACTCCTGCACTTTGCAGCAGCCTGGGTCACCCCCCTGCTCCTTGCAGGTGCCAGCAGCAAGGGGCTGTGGTGGCACCCTCTCCCCACTGTCCCCTCTGGGCACGGTGGCTCCTACCACAGCCACCCACAGCCACACATTGTCACCAGTGTCACTAACACAGACTGCCACAGAAGGGCTAGTGTGGGGTTTCCAGCCCTGCTGAGGCACCCCGTAGGCAATCCCACAGCTCTCGTGGGACCCCACACTCAGCCCCTTTCCCGCCCAGCCCTGTGGGTTTGTGGGCTCCAGCCAGTGCTCCCTGGGGGTGTGTGCCATGCATGGAGCAGCTGTTTCCCAGAGTAGCTTTTCTTTTACAGCAGCAGCCAGGAAGGGTCAGCCACCAGCCCTCAGCACCCAAAGGTGCTCCTGTGTTTTACAGAGGGGTAAACTGAGGCACAAGCTCTACCTGCAGCCATGCAAGGGTGGACCAGAATATCCTCAGGGCTGGGCACACTCCTTTAGATATGCTAAAATCATAGTGCTGTACAGGGAAGCAAAAGTCTGTCCTGATCCAAGAACAAAGAGAGAGATGGGAGAACGCTGGAGTAGGGAGCAGTGAGGCTTCCCAGGTAACCCTCCCCTCACCACCCCATAATGGAGGGCTTTGGTTTGGGCTTCTCAAAACACAACCTTCTGGCTTCTCCTTTCCACATCTGGTGAAAGGAGAGGAAAAAAAAAAAAACAAAAACAAAACATTGAAGCAAAAGGGATTGTGAAGTTTCCTTTACTCCCTGAAAAAAAGCTCAGCGTGGGTGAGCAGAGCCACCCTGGCAGGGAAGGGGGAGTGTCAAGGGCTGGGCAGTGCAGGCAGGACTGCCCATGGGCAGTGATGCACCAGCCCCCCGACCCTCCATGCTGAGGATGTCTGTGTGCACGGGTGTTTTCCTGAGCCCCACCCGTGCCCTGGCAAGGCTGCATGGCACCAACACCTGGAGCCTGTGGAGAAACCCTGATGGTGGAATGTGTGGGGGAGCCGGTGCCCAGAGCGATGGCGCTTACTGGCATGAGGGAGGGCAGGTGCTCGCAGGGCTGCATGGGGTTATCCATGCAAGCAGCACAGCCAGCACGTGTCCTTTGGCAAGCAGTTTGGCTTTGTGTGCTGGTAGTGTCACAGAGGAGATGCACTTGGGTTTCAAGCCAGCATCAGGGATCTGCAGAATCCGTCAACCTCAGTTCTGTTAATTGTGGAGGAAGCCTGGGCTGGGCACTCATTGCCAGCCTGGTGCTCTCACCTCCCATCCAGCTCCGCTGGACACGGGCTGGACCCGATGCCTTAGACATGCTTCCACACCCTGGACTGTGCTCTCTGAGCAATGAGATTGTGTTTGGCAGCAGAGTACGGATGCATAGCAGACAAGACGCCAGCTATGTGCCCTCTAACACGTAACTGCAGCCTGAGCACTGTGAGGAGCAGTCTGTGCCAACAGCTGATGGGATTCAGGGGCGGGCTCAGTGCCACTGGGCTGCACTTAGCCCAGCACTTACTGGTCTGTCCCTTTCCTGTGCTTATGTCACTCTTATGACTGCTAATAGTGTATAGATCCATTCAGGAATTCAGGCTGCACGCCCTGCCCAGGTTTGGCTCGCAGTGCATCCATCCTGATGGCATCTTCAGTGTCATTCCCATTACCAGGGGACACCCTTGTTTCTGCCACATTTTGCATCGTCAGTGGAGGACAAAAGGAAACTTGAAGGGGAAATAAACACTGGAAGGGGGTAATACCCAATAGGGAGACCTTGGACATCCCCAGCCCCTCATTTGGGGGTCCCTGTGACAGGACAATGCAACCCTTCCCAACAGTGCTGCTCTCCAGTCAGGATCCTCCCCCAGGAGCAGAAAGCTCACTCTCTGGAGCTTATATATCTTTGCATTTTCAAGTTTCACCTCCTTTCCCTCTCTTTGGCCTGGCAAGGTGAGTGAATGTGCTGCTTTTGTCCCTCTGGATATCTGTAATCCAGAGTTCTCAGCTGGTGGGGGAACCCGTGGCTCATGGAGGATAGCCAAAGAGCCCATGACAGACCTTTTCTGCTGTGTTCTCCCTGCACAGTGATGCTAACAACACAAATCCTAATCCATGTGTCCCCTCCCCACAGGTCAGCCATTCAAGCTGGACCCCAAGATGGCTCACAAGAAGCTGAAGATCTCCAACGATGGGCTGCAGATGGAGAAGGATGAGAGCTCCCTGAAGAAGAGCCACACGCCAGAGAGGTTCAGTGGGACGGGCTGCTATGGGGCAGCCGGCAACGTCTTCATCGACAGCGGCTGCCACTACTGGGAGGTCGTGGTGGGATCCTCCACCTGGTAGGCACCACCTGTGTGTGCGGGGGGTGCTTTCCCAGTCCAGCCTCTGCCAGAGGTTTTTTGGGCATGTGGAGCTGTTGCTGTGCCACTGCCACAGATAGGTGGGCTCTGGAAGCACAGAGTGCTGCTTCCACAGGCAGGTGGGCTCTGAAAGCACGGGGTGCCTCTTCCACA